GAATCTTCCCATTTCTTCGAATTTCTGAAAGTAAAATTGAAACTGAACTGAAATCGACCAAATCGACCAAATTTTGAATAAATAAATTAAGCTCAATAACCAGATCGAGCAAATCGAGCAAATCGAAAAATGACCAGATCTACACGAATCAAAGTAAGAGCTTTACCTGTTGAATGAAATCGGAAAACGACCAGATCTCGACCTCTCTTTCTCTCTCTCTCTCTCTCTCTCTCTCTCTCTCTCTCTCTCTCTCTCTCTCTCTCTCTCAGTCGAAGGAGAAGAAGAAATGGAAGAAAAATAAAATAAAAAGTAACTAGGGTTTTCAGAAAAAGATTCCGACCCTGATTTAATTAAAAAAAAAAATCTATTTTTTAATTTGTTCCCGCTGGCGGAAAACTAGAAATTTGAGTAAATTTTACCAAAAATTTATAACTTAGTTGTCCCCAAGGAAGCGGTTGAACCAATTTCTTAATAGTTGTACTTTTACAGTTATATTGTATTTCTAGTTGAACCTTCCTCTAAACTATTATATTGTAGTTGTATAAATGACTTTAGACCATTAAACATCATTTATAATGTTTTTCTACTGTAATATATGAAATATTAAATATTTTGAGTTTTTTAGTCTTAAAATGCTTAACATTGTTGATGTCTCCCTTATATTGTAAGGGGTGGTTGATGTGAAAACATGATTTTGGATAAAAATAAAAAATTAATGTTTACCATATAAGTAATTGTTTCCTTATAGTTGAAAATGTGTTGATAGATCTTAATTAGTATATTCACATCACTTGAAGCTTTAATAATTGTTTACTGCACTTCAAAAGTTGATATTAGTTGTACCCAGTTGCACCTAGTTGCACAAACACGTCAACGTTAATAATTGTACTCAGTTGAACTTGGTAGTTATACGTGAAACCAGTTGAACTTGGTAGTTATACGTGAACCCAATTGAACTTGGTAGTGCGAATGGCAACACGTAAACGTTAATAGTTGTACCCAGTTGAACCTGAAAGTGCGAATTTGACAAAATGAACTTCAGAATTGTTTATACTTGTACCTAGTTAAACCTGGTCATACAAATTCACCAAACTCAAACACAGAAAGATTCATAGTTATACATAGTCTAACATGGTTGTTCAAAACCAAAAATTACAAAACACACACATAAATCAAACTGAGCTGCCACTTTGGCTGCTCTGAAAATAGAAAGCGAAACCTCTGCCAGACACAGACCTGTTACTTGTCTTCCTACGACGTTCTCCAGTGGATGGAAAGCGGTTTTCTTGATTTCTTCCTGGCGTTTTGGTGTAATCAGGCGGTAAAGCAAACATATTTAGTATTTCCTCTGGAATACTCCAACAAGACTCATTCGGCACTGGATAAATCGTCTTGTAGTATGCCAATGCCCACGTATCAATCAAGTAATATCTAGAGCATAAGTCGTATAGACTAATATCCGCTGTTCTCCCTCCCTTCTTCATCAGTGCTGCGGCTGCAGCGATTGCATGAACACAAGGATACTTGTCTATATCCAACCCTCTGCAAGAGCAAGTTTTGCTCGACAAATCCACCAAGTAAGCCTTCCCATCGAGTCCAATAACCGTGTATTCGAGTTGGAAGCTGTTTAGCTCAGCCACAGCTAAACGAGCAGCAATTGGACATAGTTCATGCAATTTGTTATCCACATAAGGCACCACTTTCTTTGACATCGGCATATCAGCAGCAGTCTTCCTATGCTTATTAAACCAATATGCCATTTTCTCAACAGTCGCATCAATCATTGGTAAGAGAGAGTACTTCCTTACTTCCTTAAACACACTGTTGAGAGATTCACAAGAATTGCTGGTGTCTAAATTGTACTTGTCTCCTTTAAAGTAGCACCTTGCCCACTTATCCAACGGTACAGTCTCATGCAAATACACAGCAGCTGCAGGAAACCTCTTCTTAAAATCAGCATACTCCCTTTCGAACTCACTCACAGTATAAATATGAGCGCATTGGATAAATTTTGCCGCCACTAGATCTTTGTTCACCTTATGCTGAACTTTACCTCTCACGTTTTGAGACAAATACCATATACAATGTCCATGCTGGGAGTGGGGATACACCTTCGCTACTGCATTTATGATGCTTTTATGTCTGTCACTCATAAAAACCAATTCAGGATCATCAGGTATAACGATTTTCAGCTTCTCAAAAAACCACATCCAGCTGTCATGCTTCTCAGTATCAATTACACCAAAAGCAATGGGGTAATGGTGATGATTAGGATCCTGAGCTGTGGTAAAGACAAGCTGTCCACCATATACAGTCTTCAGAAATGTTGCATCCACAACTATCACTTTCCTCATTGCTTGAAACCCTTCAATTCTAGCGCCCAAAGCAATGAATAGGTACTTGAACTTTTTCTCTGCATCCAATTCCACACTTCTTACGGTTCCAGGATTTACCTTCTCCAGCATATACAAATAAGAGTATAACATCCTATAACCTTCTTCAGGAGTGCCCCGCACATCACTAACAGCTAGTTTTTTTCCTCTTAAGGCGGTAGAGTAGGACAAACTAACACTAGCTCTACTCTGAACCAGATTCACGATATTTTTGGGAACTGGGGTGTCAAATTGACCCGGATAGTCTTGCTGCAAAACAGATGCTACTAGTCGTGAGGTGCCTCTCCTTCTACTAGTGCTTGTACTCTCAACGGCCCGAGAGCATGTATGCATCTTTCTGTATACTCTAACACTGAAATAATCCGATTTCTTAAACCTTGCAGCTCGTAAATACCATTTACAGCCTTGATTCTTCTGACGGCATTCTAGAATAAGTCGACTTGTATATGACTTATAAGTATGGACCCCAAAACAGTTCTTATGTGCAGCTCTGTCAACCAAATCTTGCACTGCCTCCTTAGAACAAAATTCTTGACCAATTTCAAGACCTGTACCATCTTCCCATTCTTCAACACACTGACTAACTTCTGCAGAACCTGGAAGCTCAACATATTCATGCATACCATCGAAACCGTTCTCCATATCCCCATTAGTAAATTCATTACCATCGTTCTATGTCACCTCCTCAATAATCGGCTCCCTACGTTCTTCTCTTTCCGAGACTGCTCTATAAATAGTAACCGCATTACAGACATCATCATCAGCTCTACCATTTGCAACCGGCTCCTCATAATTCACACCAAATGAACTACCCACTTTGGAAGCTTGCTCACTCCTACCCGCTTTAGAAACTGAATTTGTTTCTAAACCTTTGACTACCTCCACATGCAAAACAGATCTTAGCCCCTCGTTATCCACCGTTGTTAGATAAGCATATACGTCATCATCAACGAAAATTTGTGTCTCGTTGATCGGTTTATTTACCAACGGAATGTAACTCAATTTCAGGTGTGCATTAGCTCTATCTATCCCAATCTTACTGCATATCTTATCTACTAACACCGAGTAAGTTATCTCTTCCACAGATAAGTTCCTAAATGGTATAGCATAGGTGGAATTACTTGTAAACCATTTCAACTCCCCTCCGTCACGTGAATAAATCCCTCCATAGTCAAAATATATGTTTGTGTGGTTGGTGCTCATGCTCTCCTGAAAATATAATGAAAATAGTCGATCAGTTGAACTCAATTGAACAAAAAATACCACAGTTATACCAGTTGAACTCAATTGAACTACATTGAACTCAGTTGTATCAGTTAAACTACACCTCTCATTTGTACCACGTGTACCAGTTGAACCCAATTTAACTCAGTTGTACCAGTGCAGCTATACCTCATGTACCAGTTATACTAGTTGAAATCAGTTGAACTAAAGTGAACTCAGTTGTACCAGTTCAACAACACCTCTCATTTGTACTAGTTGAACTCAATTGAACTAAATTGAACTCAGTTGTACCAGTTGAACTATAGCTCTCATTTGTACCAGTTGAACTTAAGTTTTCAGTTGTTCCAGTTCGCTCTCAGTTGTACCAGTTGTACCATTTTTTTCTATCAAAAATCTGGGAATTTCGAGCTCGACTTTCGTTGTTCTTCATTATGAATCTGATTAACATAACCACGTTCTTCTCACAAATTACCGAACCTATGGCTTAATCTATCCACAATACATTGTTACCAACCCAGATCCCTAATTTTTCAAATCTAAAGCCCTAATATTACACTCTAATTGAAATAAAAGAAATCACCTTCAAAATATGAGATCTTCAACAATGGCAGAAAGATGACTGGAATTCTGGGGTGGACGAAGTGGAGAAAGCGTCGATCTACGTTGGATGAAAAGGATGACGGAAGAAGAAGCTCAGGGAAGGAGCTTGGAAACCAAAAGAGAGCCCGGATGAGAAGAGAGAGGAGGAGCTCGAGCTCAGCAAGGCTGCGGGGGAGGAGGATCGAGATTCAATTTTCTTTTTTTTTTCAAAATTATTTTTATTTACTTTTACTTCTTTTACTTTTACTAATTTATTTTTACTCGGTTAATTTCAATAACTTTGACTAATAATTGATTTGTAATTTCACATCTCATTTAAATAAGAGAGTGGTATTAGATCATAAAATGACAGTCCAGATCAATTTTTCTGCCAAAATGGCATTTCAGCTCTTTGTTCATTTATTTTCCATCGATTCTAGTCTTCGGAAACATTACTATTCTATCGGCTCATATGCTGTTCTTCAAAAGAATTGTGTAAACGGTAAAAATAGGAGGAGGAATGAATTAGGGAATTGAAGTCCAACAGAAATGGGCCATGTTTTTGGTTGAATAAACATTTCCACCCACGTAACTAAACCAACTCATCATCTTCTCTATAACTAATTAAAAACATCACCACGATTATAATACACATGTATTGAGATTTAAGACACATGTTGTTCGGTTCACATACAAAGGTTTTTTTAAGCCTTTAATGAAACCATATGCTTTCTCTTGAAACCATCATCATTTTGAGATCTCACCATTAAACTTCGGAATTGTGATGCTTACTTAATGCATTTACTCCGTATAGATTTCTGAAGATTGCAATTTTGTTAAGTTAAGACCTCTTTATCTTACACATATTCATGAAGAACACCGAACATGCAAAACAGTGAACAAACAAAAACAAACTTAAAAGAGAGAGAGAGATTCGTTAATCTCTATCTATTTGTACACCTAAAACTCAACAACAGTACCCAAAAAAAACTTCTAAGACCAGCCAAAAAACATACCATTCATTTATCACTCGCTGCACACAAGTCCAAGCTCAATCTTACACGTGTCTTCCTCATCCTCGCACGTGCTACACCTCTCTAACTTCCGTTTCTTCATTGGCACCACGTGATTCCCACGTGCCACAGGCGGCTCCAACCCCAAAGTCAGCTCAAGCCCGATCCAACTCGGTTCATCCGCCGTCGTCCCCTCCGAAGACACCATACTCCCTTCATCCTTCACTACTGTTGACTCGTGACTCAGAGACGACTCGTGACTCAGCGACGACCTCACGTTTCTCTCTTCTTTGCTTGCACCGCGACTCGACCGGCACCGACTCTTCACGGCGTTCTCGTCTCTCGACACATGTCTTATGTCGAAGAGCTTGCTGCTGTTAAAAGGAGGAGCTTGACCAGTAACCGCCGCGTCGCAGGCGATTGGAGTGACCGGAGAGCCTCTCATCACCGCCTCTACGGCTGCTTGACAAAGATGCCAATTCCCGGACCATAATAACCCGACGGATCCATAAATCGGATTCACTATCCTCCCGCATGCTTCGTACAACAATGATCTAAATATCGCTGCAAAAAAATCAGAACCCACCAATTGAGATGCATGTAAGGGAGAAAAACAGAGTTCTCTGTATTAAAAACATAGGATGAGCCACCATCAGATGCATGGTAAAGAGAACAGGAACAGAGTTCTCTGTTTTCATAAACAGGAGATGATCCATTGTTAGATGCATGGTAGAGAGAAAAACAGAGTCCTATGTTTCAATGATCCATTAATAGATGCATGATAAAAGAAAAGAAAAATACAGAGTGCTCTATTTCTTAAATGCGTATGATTCATTATCAGATGCATGATAGAGAGAGAAAACAGAATCCTCTGCTTTCAGAAAGAGGGGATGGGCTATTAACAGATGCATCATGCATGATAGAGTAAAACAGAGTCGAATTGCATTACCAGGACGAAGGTGGTCGGGACCGGCGTTAAGGAGGTTCATGAGGCCGGCACGGCCGTAGAATTTGGCGAGGAAGACGGTGGCGTTGGCTTGAGATTCGGCGGATTTGATCCATTGAAGACAAGGCCTTATGCTACAGTTTTCACTGCAGCCTTTTCGAAGAACTCGACATCCGTTACAGCTCATACGCATTTTTGTGTTTTGAAGAGGATGAGAAGGAGAAACAAAGTTTTTTTTTTGGGTTAGAGGAAAGTACAGTACGGTCTTGATCTTAGAAGAAAAGAGAGGTATTTAAGAGAGGAAGGAAGCTGCTGGGTTTGGTCGGGAGATCATAACAAGGGGACGGACTTTTATTGTTAATTGTTTTTCATGTTTCTTTATTTGAAAGTTGTTTCCTTGTGAAATCTGTGTGTCGTGTAGTGGAATTTTCTTAAATGAATATGGTAATTCAAAGTAATAATTTGAAAGAAAAAAAATGGCATAAATTAATATAATTTACCATTGGTATTTAATTAATTTAATAATATAAATATAAATTATAATATTATAATATTATATTGATTGGCTAAATAAAACTGATTAGATTATTTGAATTAATTACTTATAGTAGAAACTCTATAAATTAATAATATTAAAATTTTAATATTTTATTAATTTATAGAGTTATTAGTTTATCAGTTTTAAATAAAATAAATTATAAATAACTAATTAATTAAAAATATATTTTTAATTTTTTTATTATATTTTCTAAAATTTTATTTAAAAACTATAGATAAATTGTAAACAATGTATTAATTTTAATAAAAAAACAATAATATACTTATATTTTAGATAGTTATATATTTATATAATTATTTTAATACTCAATATTAATTTATAATATAAATGAGATTGTATATTTACATAAATTTCTGAAATAATTATTATTTTATTAATTTATTGATATGTATTATATTTTAAATTAATCTAATTTAGATCAAAGAAAATTATTAATTTATAGAATTTATTAATTTATCAAGTATTAATATATAGAGTTTTTACTATATTAAACAAATTTATTTTATTTTTTTGTATGATTTAATTTGGCGAAGAAAGAAAATAATAAATTTATAGTAACTGATAGTTTGTTAAATTGTTATTAGTAAATAAGAGAAGTTAGGAGAACCGACAAAAACTGGACATGCGATTTATTTAGTTACCAATAAAATGAAAATGCAATAGTCTATGACTCTATACCGAAGCTTTTGAGTTTTGTCTCCGAGTCTCATTCGTAGCGCGTGATCTTCATCGGCAAAAGTCAGTAAAAAGTTTTTTTTTATTATTAAACAAGACTGCCAAAAATGTGGAGAGGGTAAAACGAAATTCTAGAGAAGAGGGTGAAATGGAAAATAGAGAGAGGAGGGTCGAACTTCGAAGTAGCATGCAAGCGAAAAAGTATGGTCGCGTGGCGGAGACATTGTGGTAACAGAGTTTGGTCGAATCGCCGCGTTTTCTGAACGGCTACATTATGTAGCTCCGTCTCATTAACATTAACATTTTAACTAAACTAATGATGTCAACGTATATTGGTTAGATTCGTTAGTTTTCTTTCATTAAAAACAACCGGCACTGAATGGCGATGTCTAACCTAATCTCTCATTTCTAGTTGCTTTTTTTTTTTTAAGTCTCAAGGCAATCTAGGCATAATAATATGCGCCATATGTTTACAGAAAAAAAAATGTATAGAGTTTTGACATTTTCTTTAACGTCAACATATTTGACATAACAACACAATGCTTCTAATTTGCTACACTATTAGATTCATGGTCTCGATATAGAATAATAAACACATAAGGTTCTAATTAGTAACTTATGGAATAGCAGCTGTGATTGTGTTTATGGAGACTCTGATGGAGAGGAAGGTTTTCTTATTAATTACATTTGAGCAACAAGTACAAAAATTCCCGGTTTTCCGGCAATTTAAAAGTGATGATGTAGGAACTAAACCGGTTTTGTTTGTCTCTATGGGTATAGGTTTTCCACTTAATATTTTTTTTTTTTTGCTCATCTTTCCAGTCTGTAGTTTCTGATTTTTCATTTGGTCAATGTGGTTTTGGAGTTTCCCTCTCACAGATTATTCCATTTTAATTTTTGTAATTTATTAAATAGCCTAATCCAACTATATAAGAGGTTTGGTCGGCGCTGTTAATTTAAAGAATACTCCAGACTCCAGTGGCAAAATTATAGTTAACGTTGGCCTTAACGCTTGTTCATTAGTAGACTTTCACATGGTTGACCACTCTTATTTTAATAACTAATTAACATAATATGAGACAAAATAATACTCCTTCCATTTTACTAAATAATTATATATATATATATATCTTTATACATGTATTAAATTTTGTTATAGATATAGTATACTAAATGGATTTCTTTTACTAAGTTATAATAGTAAAGATAAAATGAAATCAAGTTTAATTATATGTTGAAAAGACAAAACGATTATTTAAAATAAAGTATAATTTTTAAAATAATATTCTATATAAAATAGTGAGTATTCAATATAAGTGTGCAACATCATAAACATCACTCCCACTATTTTTAAAATAAAAATGTTTTAGAATTTTTACATATAAGTGTGATGTGTGAATTTTTGTTTTAAGATATAATTTGTTAAAAAGTTTAGTTATAATTTATTTTATTATATATTTTTTTATGAATAACAACATTATTTTTTGGCTTTGATTTTTAGTTGTTCTATTATTTTAATCTGATGGTGCAAAACTCTAATTTACAAATATGCTATAATTACAAAAATATATTATTATATATTTTGACTATAATAAAAAAGAATATTTATCAATTATTACATATTTTATTATTTAATAAGAAATTTAAATTTTTAGTGATAATTTATTATATATGAATTTTTTCTAAATTATGTATTTGAATAAATATATAATACATATATATATATTTTATCGATAATAATTATGTATGTGATAAATATTTTATCATCAGAAAGTGTAAATTATTGTATGTATTTATAAAGTATATATAAATTTAATTAGCATGTAATTAAAAGATAAATAATTAATTAATTTAATTCTGATTGTAATTAATATAATAGATTATTAATTATAAAAATTAAAATGTCAGGTATTACTCTCTCTAATACTGATGTAGTACTCAATGGGAAAGAGTTGGTCATTTTTTATATTATTAATTAATAAAACATATTAAATCTTGATTTTAAAATGTAGTATCTTCTGTGATCAATTCTCAATAAATTTAAACCAATAGTTATTCAATAAATTTAAATATATCTTTAAAAACTACATTTTATTATTGTTAACTAATAAAAAATGTATTAAAAACACAAAATATTCATTTAAACAGTTTTTGTTCTAAACATTATTTTTTAAAGAATAGAAGAAATCTTAAGAACTAAATAAAAGAAAATTATAGTAATTTATATTTCTTTTCGAATAGATTGATGTTTAATTTTTTTATAGATATTAAGAAACAATTATTATCAACTTTTCGTAACTATATATATATATATATTTATCTTTTTAATCAATGAAATAATGTCAAGTTTTACTTTAAAGTAAAATATATTAAATTAATTCTACAATATTAATCTTGGAGAGAAAAAAGCTGAAGAATTAATTTAACTAGGAACCGAGATAGTATAACGCAAATTTTGTATAGATTTTATAATAAAAATTAATTTAAAATAGCTTTAATTAACGTTTTTAAAAATAAACAAGATACCTTTACAATAGACTGTTCCGATATTGCTGTACAGCTACGATTGACAGACAGATGATGATCCTTTAAAATTAAGATGCATGCAAAATATGAACATACAGATACATTTTGTCGTGTTATGCTAAATAAATATTACAAATTATTGACAAATATGACAGCACCAATTTCTAGCTAGATTTGTACAATGATATAAGTATTTTATATACGGGCATGGAGGTTTATCTGATACAGAATCCAACGTTAACTCCTTTTGTTTATCAATTTCTCTTTCTCCCGAATTCTATCAAAAGTGAAAATAGAAAAATCCAAATCGACAAAAAAAAAGTCGAGCTAAAAACAAGCCATGAATGTCTAAAAAAATAAGAGGTAGTGAAACTCTTCTTCATGATACATTGAACTGAAAAGACAAATGGAGGAGAGATAGGTTACGATGGCATGCAAAAATGTCCAAAAACATAAATATATTAGGAGATATAAGAAGAAGGAAAAATCCAAAAGGAATAATGAATAATAGGGTTTGGTATCCATATGGCCGCGCGTGTGTGTCACGTCATCCTACGTTTTCGACGTCGTTTCTGCTTTCTAAATGTTGGACAAACCTATTCTCTTTCTTACAATCACTTCCATAATTTTAGGAGAATGGATTATTCAAAATTCCAAACCAAGGGGCTCGCGTTTTCCATGGTTTTCGGAATTGTGGGCTAAAACGTCGGACAGGGAGTTTAAATTTTTGTATTATTAGAATAATAAATAGCTTCTTCTTGTACTAAAATATTATTCATTTAATTAACTGGTCAAAAAAAGTCCGATTCGTAGATTTTTAGAATAGTATTAAATTTTCACTGAGAATAAAGACTCTCATAATATTATGCGGGTAGAGTGATTTCGATAAGACTACAAACATTTCGTTTCAGGCCTTGTTCGTTTTTTAACTCTCAAGTCAGGAATGTAAAATAAGAGTTTACAGTCAAGATTGAATTAGATTCAGAATTCAAGGTTATTATGTATTTCTTTTTGAAAGTTTAGTCTGTGTATTATTTTTTATTAGACGAACTTTAGCTGAATCAATAATTTACTAAAAGAAACGTCAACTTTTGAGATAAATTCTAGCAATAGATTAGAGTTTCTGGCAAAAAAAAAAGTTTGTGATGAAATAGTAAAAAATATAGTACATTTCTAATTTATTGCAAAGTATATGATTAAAATTCTAAATATAAATTTATTATAAACTTTTAACTTAAAAACTAATTCGTAATAATAAATTGTTTTATGTTGTTTATATATTATTTAAAAAAACTTTCAGTTTTTAATGTAAAACTATTTTATTATATGTTCCTTTAGATATTGTTTTTTTTTCTTAGCTATGCATTTCGCTATATTCAACTATAATCATACTAAAGGGACTAATTTCAAGTCGAATCGATTATAAATTAGATTAGACATCATAGATCGAACTCTTTTATCATGTTTGACATGAATTTATTATGGATTTACAATTCAAAACTAAGTTGACAATTAACAAAATACCTCATTTCGCTGTATATAATTTGAAATTTTAACTAGCGATATATAATATTATTCCATATAATGGTAACTTTCGAGGCTATATTTAGCAAAAAAAACAAATATGAAACAAAATCAAATCTAAAGATTCGTTCATTGCAAAACCATTATAATTTTGTGCAAAATTGAGATGTCAATTTGAGCGAGTCATATATATTCCATGAATTTTGATTGTGAGCCCAATTGATTTTGACAAAGAGCCCACTTAGGTTCTTTAGAGGCTTACCTGGGCCTGACCATATCATTGTAAATTTATAACCAAATCCGATGTATTAAAACTGAAAAAAAAATTAAAGCCTTAAGTAATAATAAGTAGTAGTAATATTTATTTCCCCCAAAGGAAGGGGCCAAATCCACCGGAAAGTAAAATGAGAGTATAGCACCACCACCATCACACATTTTCACTCCTAGATAACGATAAGATTCATGGAATTATCTTCCACGTGGCATTTTTCTAGTGATTCAAACCGATAAGGGTCTCAACACCTTTCCTTAGTCTTTGTGGCCGTTACCATGTAATTAAACCTCACACATATCCACTCAAAAATCCAACGGTCCTAATCCCATTCCACTCCAATCTCGTGAATTCTCATCCCACCGATCACCTCCACGGCTTGTTATCACTGTTGTTACCATTATATATAGATGACCAAAGGCACTAGACCAAAACCTAAGTCACAAACAAAGAGTAAAGAAATATGGCTTCCTCTATGCTCTCTTCCGCTACAATGGTCGCCTCTCCGGCTCAGGCCACAATGGTCGCTCCTTTCACCGGACTTAAGTCCTCCGCTGCTTTCCCGGTGACCCGTAAGGCTAACACCGACATTACTTCCATCGCAAGCAACGGCGGTAGAGTTAACTGCATGCAGGTAACATTCCTCATACCAAACAAAATCAATTTATGGTTTTGAATCTCGAATTATATAATCTGATACTGTTTTGTTTTTGTTAATTAGGTGTGGCCTCCGATTGGCAAGAAGAAGTTTGAGACTCTCTCTTACCTTCCTGACCTTACCGATGTTGAATTGGCTAAGGAAGTTGACTACCTTATCCGCAACAAGTGGATTCCCTGTGTTGAATTCGAGTTGGAGGTAATAAGAAAATCAAAAAAACTTATGGGAATCTTTAGATCTTGTAGATCTTTATTATGTTGAGACGATCGCCATGTGAATCTTGAATAGGGATCTTGATTTTATATACGTATCCAAAAGTTTTCTTGATTGTGTTTGTATGATATGTTTGTGTAGCACGGCTTTGTGTACCGTGAGCACGGAAACACCCCTGGATACTACGATGGACGATACTGGACAATGTGGAAGCTACCATTGTTCGGATGCACTGACTCAGCACAAGTGTTGAAGGAAGTGGAAGAGTGCAAGAAGGAGTACCCCAACGCCTTCATTAGGATCATCGGATTCGACAACACCCGTCAAGTCCAGTGCATCAGTTTCATTGCCTACAAGCCACCAAGCTTCACCGGTGCTTAATTTCATTGCACAGCTCTCTTTGCTTTGTGTAAACATCAAAAGAACTTTTATCACCACCCCCACCTTTGATTTTATGTTTTTTTTCCTTATCTTTTGTTTTAATTTCCGGATTTAACGTTTGTTTTTCCGGTTTGCGAGACATTTTCTATCGGATTCTCAAATGTCTGATGAAATAATTATGTAATGTTCTATAAATCTTTGATTTTGAATTTTTGCATATGACACAAAACAAATGACAGTGCGGATCAGGATATGAAATATACAAAGTCGAATAACTGCGATAAAGTTCTAACAAATATATTATACATTTTAACAAATATTTCAGAAATTAGATTCACATTGTAAGTTTTGTCACATGATTAGTAAACTTGAGGTCAAAAAGCATTCTTCTTCGAACAATATCTTGAAGTAAAAGATGGGCCACTGGAAATCTGTGATGGATACATTCGTGGACGTGCCTTCTTTAGGATAGGCTTGTGGATAAGAGTCTCGAATATTCATTTTTATTTCTATATAACAAAGTATATTCCGTGTGGATCATATATTTCTTACTTGAGTCGTTCATCGTTTAAACATACATTTCCCATTGACCAAAAAAAAAACATACATTTCCCAATGAAATGACTTTTTCACAAATTCTCATAAAGATTTTGTTGGAACTATGTAGTATGAACGTGTAGCTCTTAATGTTGTTTTGCGAGTTTTAGAATATGATAGATAGATAAATTAAAATTTCTATTAGTTAATTAAAAAAATTAAATATAAATTTAAGGAATATAATATGTGATAAAAAATCTTTATATAATGATACATTTTGTTTCAAAAGAGTTCTGGTCGCAATCGAATACATCGAAATGCGCATATACCCTCCTAAAAATTGACAGAGAGAAAATACCAAGTTGTGTTTTTGTTTTCAAGTGTTTCTTTTTTGTTGAATAAACAAATTCGGTGGGAGTGACCAAAGGAAACCATGAGTGGGGTGGGTCAAAAGGCCCATTAATAGACATAAGCTATATCATACCAAATAGCCCACTCAAGTTATCTTTTTACTCCTATTTTCTCAAAACAATGTCAGTTGGCCACAGCCACAGGTCTACCTTTTTATTGATTTTTTCCGTGTATATAAAATTTCCTTAATATTCTCTGGTCGTGAAAATAAATCAAAATCTAATATAATAAAGTAAAACCGAATTAATGATGGAAACTGCTGAGTAGAAGTAGCACTGTCACTTTTGTCTTGAAACTAGACCTCCAGCTAAATTCTGTTTGAGCATAAATCTGGATTAACATATACAATTACACTGGCTCAACGTATAATTAACATATACTACTGTCACTTCTTTATTGATATATAGGAAACAAACACAACTATACATTAACATATAAAATTACACTAACATATAGGAAACCTCAACGTATAATTTACCTATACTATTGTCACTTCTTTATTGATATACTAGGTTACTATCTGCACGTTCGTACCGGATAATATTTGTAAAAATATTTAAAAGATATTTTATAATTTATTAAATTTTAAAAAATATTTGGCTATCTAAAAATGTTTAGTTGAGATTTGAGAAAATTTAGTTATTTTGTTTTTAATTTAAACTTATACAAAACAAGATTTACATTTACTTTCGTCCGAGGTTTCAAAATATAATATTCTTTTTTCTGTTTGTATAATATGTGAATCAAAGCTGTTGCAAAATAATAAATACTCGTAGATCTAAAACATAGAAATAATTTTTATTTTCATTAATAAAATAGGTAACTAATTTAATTTACTAAACCAATAAAATTATCGAATTATTTGTGATTGGTTCGATTTAAATTTTGATTTAATTTTAGTGATTTAAAATAAAGTGTTTGGTAATAAGGATATCACAAAAAAATAAATCACTAAAAAATATTAGAAAAATGAGATAATGACACCTAAACTAATGCTTTCTGTTTAATATATGTTTAATACTTTAAAAAAAAAATAAAGATTCACTTAAATTTTCTGCCATATTTATTTAAATCAAATTGTTTAAATTATATAAAAAAAATCTAAATATTAAATGCAGATTTTTAAAACATTAAATACAATTAAAAATTAGATAATTAGAGAAGCTTTTGTTTGGTTGTAAGAAAGATTGTGTTTGATTGCAAGAATAAATTATTTAAGTTTTTAACCATCATTGAGATTTAAAAAATTCAAAATTCTGAGATAATGACACAGAAGCCACTAATTCTTCCTGTTTCATATACTAGGTTTTTCATCCACGCTACGCGCAAGTATGTATTATTAATTTAATCTATTTTTTCGTTATTAATTTTAAATTATTAAAAGCAGTATAAATTTACATAATTTTTTCTCAAAATATTTTTAATATATTCTTATATTATATATTTCAATATGTTTTAATAATTCCAGCAACATGTTAAATATCCACTTCTATTTTATCAAGGTTAACCACAATAATGATTAATTTATTTTGTACTCTTTTATCTATAATAAATGTATTTGATGGTCTTCCATGTTCAAATTCTATTTGGATCTTTTTTTTAGTTATAAAATATTTATGACGTTAATTGAATTGTCCAATCTTGATGCGGTCGTAAAATATACATATTTAGAGAATAATAATTTTTTTTGCTAAGATCCTGATGTTTTCTTTTTGCTTTTGTTTTTCTTTTGATTTTGTAATTATTTTGATATATAATATGTTGTTTACAATTTGTTTATAAATGTATGATACAAATAATTTTCCAATACTGCTTATGAGTTTGGAAACGTACTGAAATTTTCTTTATCTCATGTTTATGTATTCAAATTTTTGGTGTCTGATTAATGTTGTATACATAATCATCTATTATCTCTAGAATCGTTTGACATGTTAGAAAACTAAAACATATACTCTTTTAATATATATTTATATTTTATATTTCAATATTTTTTTTCCATTTTTCTTAAAACATTATGCAACATATTTATCACCTAATTTCATTATACTCCGATAAGCCACCATCACCATTTAATTTATATATAATCTCTTTTTTACATCAAACGCCTTTTGATGGCCTGCCATGTTCAAATACCCTACCTCATCATGATCCACGCGGTTTTTTTTCTTTCGGTTATGGTGTTCCCGGAGGAGACTTTTGCGGAATTTGACATTTGCAATAAAATCTATACACTTGGTATTTAATAAATATATTCAATAAATTTCATAATATTCAAATTTAAAATATTTTTTTTAGTTTTTAGTTATAACATTAAACTAGATTTTTAACTTACCTTGATGGCGAATCAATTTTTGTTCTTTTGGTATAATTTTAATTAAAAAAATATTATGAATTTTGTTAACAATATTGTTACGGTTATTCAAAAATAGGAAAAGTGCCTAATCAATTAATCAAAAATTATATAGAAATTAACTAGATATTAGTGTTAGGATTTTTTTTTGGGAAAATTTTAAAAGTACACCTTTCATTGTACCACTATTCAATAATACTACAACAAGGTGAACATTTTTATGAATACAATTATTTAACTATTGAAATGATAAGTTTATCCCTAGGTCATTAGAAATCAAAAGTCATCGGCGAGTCGAGAGAGAGAGATCAAATTGGTGAAACAACGATTGTGAATCGTGATCGGAAAATTCTGATAATGAGTCGAGAGAGATCGAGAAAGAGAGAGAGAGAAAGAGAGAGAGAGAGAGAGAGAGAGAGAGAGAGAGAGAGAGAGAGAGAGAGAGAGAGAGAGAGAGAGAGAGAGAGAGAGAGAGAGAGTTGGAGAAATTATCCGCGAATACTTTTCTTCGCGAGTCGACAAAGTTGGCGAAAAAACTATCCGTGAATCGAGATCGGAAAATTCAGATTTGTTTTACTCGGAAAAGGTATGTGATTCGTTATTTTATTCATTTAAACTGTGATTTGTTTCGCTGAATCCATTGTTGTTACGACTTTGAAGATTTGTGATTCACGAATTGTGAATCACGAATTTGTTTTGGTTAAATTTGTGATTTGTTTCTCTGTAGTTACCGATTTTGAAGATATGTGACTCGTGAATTGTGAATCACCACCCTTTGTTTTTCGTTGCAATTCCGATTAGTTTCACTAACTCCTTTGTGGTTGCAGATTTATAAAGATTTCTAAGCTTTTATAAATCTCTCTCTCTCTCTATCTCTTTCCCTATGTCCCCAGTTTCCTAACATTTCACCGGTTTTGAAAAACATCATACGAGTATCATTTAGCCAAAAGTTTGCCTTAGTTTCTTTGTTTTTGATTCTGGGTGATTTTATTCATCTTGTTTCGAATAGATAATAACACTGTTCCGTTTAATTTACATTCGAATGCACTTCAAGTTTTGATTTAAACATATTGATATTGTAAAACTTTGCAGATGATGGATGAAGAATTCGATACAACACTGAAATTGCCTGCACGGATATATGAACCCGGGACAGAACCAAAGAGCACCATTGTAGTCCTGCAAAATTTGAACCTACTCTATGTGGATAAAGTCACAAAGCTTTTAGGAGATTGGAAGTTTCGTATGATCGAAAGCTCTTATCTCAACCTGATTGTGAAGCTCGCAAGGAGAGAGGACATTCAATTTTCTGGAAAGATCTTCTACTTCCTGATGCAAAGAAGAATTTTGACACAAGGACAAGACTTGTGGTTTGCATTTGCAGACCAGCCGATGAGATTTTCACTCAGGGAGTATTTTCTAACCACAGGCTTGCGTTGTTGTGAACCAGAGGAGTACCCAAACCAGACAACAGGGCCATCACACGTGAAGTTGAAAAAACCATATATGTGGATGCTAGGACAGACAGATTAGTACACTGTGAAAGATTTGATCTGCTGGAAAACAATGCGAACAGAATGTCTGCTGAGGAGAAACTTTCTCTTGGAGCTGCTATCTTGACTCATGGGATTATAATCTCAAAGAATCCAACGGTAAAGATATCGCGAGAAAGTGCAATTGTTTTTGAATTTCGATACTTACTCTTTGCGTCCTTGGGGGAAGATAGGATACGAGGTCCTATCTGCTAGTATACACAGGATTCAAGCAAAAACATTTGCAAAAGGTCAATATGAAGTGAAAGGATTCGTATGGGCAATCACGTTGTGGGCTTTGTCGGCTGTGCCAGCGCTAGGTACTTCATTTGGGAGTCGATTTGATTCAAGCTCGTCTGCAGGCCCGTTGTGTTTACAGTGGAAAGCCACTCAGAATCCTTTTATTTCAGATGTTTTTTTGTGTAGAGCAGATAAACAATGTAAGTGATTCTCAGTTTATTTGATGATAGATACTGTTTTTGATGCAATAATAAAGCTTTACAAAAAATTGTATTTGCTATGCGTTTGCAGATTGTAGTCAATACAGTTGTTGGAAATCCAGAGGAATATAAGAACCTGGTTCCACCAACGAATCCCATTGACAAGGACTTTGCAGCGGTTGTGAAACTAGTAAGGCAAGGCTACAGATTGAGGAGAGCCGACTGGATAAGCGGCATGTTGGATGTTGTTACTGCATCTGAATACATATTGACATAGCAAGCAAGAAACGCTGAGCCTACAACAACCCCAAAGTCTCCTCCTTTTACTGACAGTTAAAAACTTGACAAGATACTCAATATGCTTGTGATCTTGGCCAGGAAAGTGAAGATCATCCAGCAAGTCTTAGGCATTTCAGAAGAAAACGAAGTAGATGGCAAGCAATCAGAGGTAAAAAATAGACAATATTAAAATATTTATAAAGATGTTTGATTCTGACGATTGAGCATTGTTTGATTCTTTTCTTTATAGGAAAATGAAAATGTTTCTGAAGATGGCGTGCAGAAAGATACAGAGTCAGAGAATTCTCGGCGTGAAGCAAATTCAGATGACAGTTATGCTGCCGATGATGATAATACACAAAAACATGGTGTTGTTGAAGAAACAGCTGATTTTGTTGGTGGTTTTAATGCTAAAAATGCTAGTTCTGTTGGTATTAGCGATGAAGAAACAGAAGTTTTGGTTCAAGAAACACAAGATCTTGGCGACGAGGAAACTACAATCGTTGTTGAAGGTAAAGATGATTCATCTTTACTCCTTGTTTGAATCCAAAAAATAATTTCTTATAATGCTTGTTGGTTTATGATTTTCTGTTGGGTTCAATGAAGATACAAAAGTTAATTTTCAAAGTACCCAAAAACTTGGCGACGATGAAGCTTCGAATGGCTGTAATAATGATATATCTCGTACGGCAACTGCAGATTGTGGTGAGAAAAAAACCCCCGAGGTAAAGTAGAAACGCCAATCTGTTATATTTTTTTTAACTTAAGCTTGTGTTCTATTGATAAATTGAGTGCTATATCTCATCTCTGTTGTTATGCTTGTATAAGTTTCATCGCCTATTACACCAAGATTCAATCTTTTTTCCCAAGACAGTTTACAAAACAGCATAAATAATGACAATGGAGGTGATAATAGCAGACACAGAGCTGATGACAAAGACAATGAGGAGGTAATTCAAGACTTTTTTCCAAATTATTTCTGGGATTTATTCAACTAGTATTGCTGATTCTAAAGTTTTGAAAATTCTCAATTTTGACTAGGGTATTGAAGCAAATGTAACAAATTCTCGAAGAGGTTTATCCGATTTACAAAGTGTGACGAAAATTAAGAAACGAGCTGCAGAAGGATACACAGAGGTAAACGAGTTGATTCCCTGTATAATATGATTAAGTTACAAGTTTTTCCAGCTTTTTAAACATCGAAATGGTTTGTGCATTTTAGGAACCAATATCTAAAAAGAAGAAACATAAAGCATCTAGGAAACATCAAGCAGATGGAGTGCCAGCAAGAAGAAGCCAGAGAGGACAAGTGCCTTCGATTCTTACACAACCACCTTACACAGGAGCAAGGAAAAGACATCCATTAATTCATCCTTTTGAGCCGGTTGATAAGATGCGAATGGAGAAAATAAAGGAATGGAAACAGTCAAATTTGTAAGCATAGTTTTCGTAAGCTATATAAAAGATGTGATGCCATATTTGTAACAATTACTGTCTACTCTTAATGCAGGCCACTGAAAATTAATGACATCACCGTAGATCTTAAGTAGATTACCACGCTGCAGACAGCAGGAAATGCTTTTACGAAAGCGGTAAGTTTATAGACATTTTAGTCCTGCGAATAAATGTTTTCTCTTGAAATTTGGAGCATCTTAAAAATTGTCTGTTTTTGTCTTACAACATATGGAAGCAGCTTTGGAGTTATTGAGGATGCGAAAGAAACGAAATCCTCATTTGTTTTTGAACAAAAGTGCTTTGATGGTTGGTGAATCATTCTTGAAAGCAATAGATGATATTTATGATATTTGTGCAGATGACAAGGACGGGTTTCAATTCGGGACTGAATTCACCAGTCATGGCATAGAGAAAAACATTCGCATTATCTACGCGCCGTTGAGGATCAAGTATAAATGCTGGACTGCATTGATCTTTCATCTTGAGAAGAGAAAGATAATCGTATTGAACTGTGCAGCATCAAAGATTTCGGAAGAACAGGTCAATACAGACATTGGCGCGTATGCACACACAATTCCTTACATCATTCGCCAAATTATCAAGGATGACACGATGGTGACCTCTCCATCAATATTCAAATAGAGTCAAAAGAAGTACCACAGGTTAAGTGTTTGTTTGCAAATAAATGTCATCATGTTTCTATAAACTTTTTTAATATGGCATTATATTTATTTGTCTTCTTCTTTTGTATCAGGTTGCTAAAATAGCAGAGACAGGCGTTTTCGTATTGAAATTAATAGAGTGCCACTCAATACGCATCAAGGACTTGATGAAGCTTTCGGAAGAAAACATCGGGGATATAAGATTGAAGCTTGCTGCTGATCTCTTCTCAGAGTTATTAGCACCGTAATTTGACAAGTAAAGGTAAAAAACAAGAGAATGATCTTTTTTAAAGCATTCCACAAAAAAAACCTAAACATTGTAGATCTAATTGTGTATAGGGACAGGAGATGGAGCAAGGATACACAGAGGAGCGGAAAAAGAGACATTCCCTTTCTTGTTTGAAATCATTAGTTTGATTTTTTTCTTATTATGCTAGACTGCAGTATCGATATTTATGGTTAAAAGAGTCCAGTGGTCATTGCTTCAGTGTGTTTGGAACATTATGCCACTCAGACGACACAAAAAACATTGTTGTTTAGTTATCCATTTTATAAAGGTTTTTAAATATCCTTTTCAATCTTTATAAATATTTATAAATTTTGTTGGATGACATATAAAAGAAGTTTTAAAATGTTTATAAAGATTTATAAAGTCTTTTGTTGAGATTTAAAAGATGTTTTAAAATGCTTATAAAAAGATTTTCAAACAGTCGAGACCCCCGCGGTTGCTCGAACTTGGGTGCTGATGGTAAGGAAGAGGCGTGTGTAACCCCCAAGGCTGTAGTGTTTTAATTGTCAATGACTCCAGCGTAAAGGTTAATATAGAGAATATCTACTGTCTGAGAATGTAGGTCCAAACACGGGCCCAACAAAAAAATAAAAAATTGTTTTTATAAAGATTTATAAAGTCTTTTGTTGAGATTTAAAAGATGTTTTAAAATGCTTATAAAAAGATTTTCAAACAGTCGAGACCCCACGGTTGCTCGAACCCGGGTGTTGATGGTAAGGAAGAGGGCGTGTGTAACCCCCAAGGCTGTGGTGTTTTAAATGTCAATGACTCCAGCGTAAAAGTTAATATAGAGAATATCTACTGTTTGAAAATGTAGTTCCAAACACGGGCCCAACAAAAATAAAGAAAATATTTTTATAGAGATTTATAAAGTCTTTTGTTGAGATTTAAAAGATGTTTTAAAATGCTTATAAAAAGATTTTCAAACAGTCGAGACCCCCAAATTTTCTCGAACCCGGGTGCTGATGGTAAGGAAGAGGGCGTGTGTAACCCCCAAGGCTGTGGTGTTTTAGTTGTCAATGACTCCAACGTAAAAGTTAATATAGAGAATATCTACAGTTTGAAAATGTAGGTCCAAACACGGGCCCAACAAAAAAACCAAAAAATTGTTTTTATAAAGATTTATAAAGTCTTTTGTTGAGATTTAAAAGATGTTTTAAAATACTTATAAAAAGATTTTCAAACAGTCGAGACCCTCATGGTTGTTCGAACCCGGGTGCTGATAGTAAGGAAGAGGGCGTGTGTAACCCCCAAGGCTGTGGTGTTTTAATTTCAATGACTCCAACGTAAAAGATAATAAATAGAATATCTACTGTTTGAAATGTAGGCCCAAACACGGGCCCAATAAAAAATCCAAAATTGTTTTTATAAAAATTATTTATAAAAAATTTTAATTCCCTATCTGATACCCCATACCCCATCTTGTTTGTGTACAACTTAAACTTCTTTGCCAAAATTAAGAAAAAGCCAAAACTTTTCCCTTTCTTCGCCAAACGTATCTCAGATAATCTGTAAAAATTGTCAAAGGTTTGTTCTATCGCTCTTAGTCTCCTTCTCACTCTGGCTCTCTATCTTTCGCGGTCTATTTTTGTCTGTCTATCGCTCTTTCTCTCTCTCTTTCCCGAAAAACCTAGTTTCGTAGTTGAGATTTAATTTTATTGTATTGTGAGCACAGATTTATAATAAATTATAAAGCTTTATGAATATATGTTCACCAATTTTGCGTCAATTTGCTCGGTTTTCAGTTCTGGGTAAATAAAAAAATGAAGTTTTTAGTCGCCAGAAAATTTTGGGGCTTTTTCCATAAGTTTCATTTGGCTAACAGTTTAGTGTGTGGAATCGTTTTGAAGTGATTGATTAAGCAAACAAAGTTTGGTTTTTAAATAGAATATGATTCCTTTATATTATTCCGTTTGCTCTAATATTGCTTTTATAAAACTTTTGCAGATGATGGAAGATGAAGTGCATAAGACACTGAAATTGCCTCCAAGGATATATAAGTCTGGGACTGAACCAGACAAAGTGGGTGTAATCATGCAACACTCGAGCTTCAACTTGGTGCAAAGAGTCGAAAAGGTGTTAGGAAAAATACTGTTTGCCAAAATCAAAAACTCTTTTCTCAGCTCGATTGTCAAGCTCTCAAGGAGAGAGGACATTCAGTTTTCTGGAAAGATCTTCCACTTTCTTATTCAAAGAAGAATTTTGACAGAGGGAGAAGACTTGTGGTTTGCATTTGCAGACCAGCCGATGAGATTTTCTCTAAGAGAGTTTTATCTAATCACAGGATTGCGTTGTTGGGAGCCAGAACCAGAAGAACTCAAACCCAAACAAAACCCAACACACAGGTTTGTGAGAAAGGCTTATCTTTGGATGTTGGGGAAAAAGGATAAGTACACTGTGAAAGGTTTGATGCAGCTGTTGGAAAATAATGCAAACAGAATGTCTGTTGAGGAGAAACTTTTTCTTGGAGCTGCTATATTGACTCATGGGATTATAATCGCCAAGAATTCAACGATAAAGGTGCCGCGAGAGAGTCTGAAAATGTTTTCGAATTTAGATAGATACTCTGTGAGACATTGGGGGAAGATGGGATACGATGTCCTATTTGCTAGTATATGGAGGATGAAAGCAAAAACATTTGCAAAACCTCTGTATGAAGTGCAAGGATTCGTATGGGCAATCACGTGGTGGGCTTTGTCGGCTGTGCCTGTGCTAGGTACTAGATTTGTGAGTTGATTTGATTCAAGCTCGTCTGCAGGCCCGTTGTGTTTACAGTGGAAAACCACTCGGACTCTTAATATTTCAGAAGTTTTGGATGTGCACAATCAACGGGATGTAAGTTTCGTGTTGTGGAATTTTTTAATATTGCTTACTTTGGTTTAATTAAACTCTTATAAATGTATTTGCTATGCGATTGCAGGTTATAGTCAATACTGTTATTGGGGATCCAGAGGAATATAATAATCTGGTTCCACCGACAAATCCCATTGACAAAGACTTTGCAACGGTGGTGCAACTTGTAATGCAAGGCTATAGGTTAAGCAGATCCGAGTGGATAGAGGGAAAAGTAGATGGTGTTTTAGCATCTGAACAAATACGGACAAAACATAACAGGCGAGCGGAGCTTAGTAGAACAACACATGAGGCTCCTCTCGTGACTGACAGTGACAAAATTGACAAGATGATGGAGATGCTTAAAACCTTGATTGGCAAAGTGGAGACCATAGAGGCTTTTGTGGGGATTAAGGCAGCAAAGGTAAAAAAAAAGCATCTATTTAACCCGTTTAAAAATGTTCAGTTAGTTTTCGGGCTTTGACAATATGTTTTATGATTTATAGAAAAAGATCCTGTAGATGGTGATGATAACAATGATCCAAAAGATCCTGAAGATGGTGAGGATAACAATGATGGAAAAGATCCTGAAGATGGTCAGGATAACAATGCTGCAAAAGACCCTGGAGATGATGTCATTGATATTAGTGATAGAGATGGTAATATTGAAGATCATGGTGAGGATAAGGATGATACAAATGGTAATGATGGAGATCGTACTGGCAATGTTGATGCGCTTATTGATATTAGCGATATTGATGAAAATCATGGTGGCGACGGTGAGATTTATGTCATGTGAATATGTTATTTTATAAAACCAACTTTAAAAACACGCAAATTTGTTCTTGTTTTGTTGTACAGAAAATCTCAAAGATGATGAAGGTGATGAAAGTCATGATTCCAACCGCCATGGATTTACTTTGCGACCACCGCTGACAGATGAAGATGTTATCGTTCAGTTGGAACAAGGTGGAGCTCATCCAATATTCCACCCATTCCAGCCATATCTTCTATCAAGGAAAGCAAGATTGGATGAATGGAAGAATGCAACTAACCAGAGGTAAGTAAAGTTTTCATATATGTTTAGCTTAGTAATATGGAGAGATTTACAAATATCTTTTGAAATGTAGGATCTTGAAAGATTTTCTTGGACATGAAGTAAATGGTGATTGGTTTTTAAACCTCCAGACACCAGGGACTGTAATGACCAGACAGGTAAAACTAGAATTTGAAATCTCATTTAAACTAGAAGTAAATGGTGATTGGTTTTTAAACTTCAATTTTTAAACATCTGCCAAAATTTAGTTGAGCCATAATTCTTTCTGCTTGTGATATAAACTTATTGCAATCTCATTCACTCTGTCATCTTTGATAGTACGCATTTATAGTTTAAAAGTAAAAAGTTATATTTTTTTTTATTGCAGCATATGGATTCTGCTATGCATTTGCTTCGAACAAGTAGAAAAAATAGTACCAAGATTTTTGCAAACAGTAGAGTTGCCATCTATGGAGAACATTTCCTTTTGACACTTAAACAATGCTGGGAAAGATGGCGGTTGAGTCAGAAATGGTACAACTACAACAAGAAAATCGTTGAAGGCTACATCAATGGTACATTGCCGGCTATTGGCAATACAGAGAAGAAGATGATCAAAGACATAGACTATGTCTATGCGCCAAAATGTTGGCATGACAAACAGTGGGTTGCCGTGATATTTGACTTGAAGAAAGGGTCGGTAAGCATATGGGACAGCGATAGATACCCGAAGAAATTATCAGATTATGAGACGTCGACATTCCCATATGCACAAATAATGCCTATGCTTTTGAAAAGGTTTGTAAAAGGTGCGAGATATTCCAAAGAATTCACTATTAAAAAGCAACCAGGAATACCCAAGGTATGTTACTCAAAAAACGACTATGTTTTCTATAAGTTCTTGGCTGACTAATCACCAATGTTTAACTCTAGGTAAGCAATTTCCAGGACACAGGTTTATATACTTTCAAGTTCATAGAGTGCCATGCGAGTATGATGACAGACCTGTCTAGTCTCTGCCTTGCAAATATTGAACAACTGAGAATTAAGCTGGCGGTTGAGTAATTTTGTGAGGTATTTGATGGACCTTCTTCAGATAGCCAACTCAACGATGCAGCTGCAGATGAGTTACCGCTTGAGTCACCTAGTGAGAGCAATAAGTCAAAGAGAAAGCTGAAAGGGGATGATCATAGAAGCTCTATGAGAAACAAAAAGGCTAGAGTATGAAACTGTTTCTCCTCGTTTGTTTTAAAATTTCTTCAGCTCAAAAACTTGTAGCTTCTTCTTTTGTTTTTTCCTCTCTTTTCTTTGGCCATGTAATGGCTTTTGAAACAGACTCTTTACTTTATGTATCTTTAATATTTGCTTTATTAAAGATTTATAAATTAGCTTATGAAGATTTATAAAGATTTATAAAGATTAAAAAGATGTTTTAAAATATTTATAAAAAATGTTTGGGGGGTAAAATACACTCGAGACAACCCCGAAGGCTGTGGATTGAATCACATATAACGAAATATAATTATGTGAACCCCATTTGCTCGAACCAGTGTACTGATGGTAAACTAGAGGGCGTGTGTAACCCCCATGGCTGTGGTGTTTTAATTGCCATAGCCTCTAGTGTAATTGCTTATAAAGAGAATACACTTTGGGAAATTTTTATATTGCTCTGGTTATGATGCAGGCCCAAACACGGGCCCATAAAATCTAAGACGCTCTTGTAGATTATAAATAAATTATAATTTATAAAAGATTTAAAAGAAGTTTTAAAAGGTAATTCTTCATGTTGGAAGCCCAATTGTGTTTTATCAAATGGATTATATGAACGATGTTAAAGGATTTATAATTAATCTTTTAAATCCTTATAAATTTGATGGTGCAATTTATAAAAGATTTAAAAGAAGTTTTAAAATGTTTATTAAAACTGTTTTAGGTGCTCAAACCAGAGAACTGAAGGTAAACTAGAGGGCGGTCGTTACCCCTAAGGCTGTGGTGTTTTAATTGTCATATCAGTGATTCTAATTATTCATAAAGAATATATGTTTTAAAAATATAAAAAAATCCTCATTGATTCCTCATCGAGAGAACTGACACCGTATCGATAAGAGGTAATCGTTATATTTATTTATTTATTTGCATTGAAAAAATCAATTTCTTCTCTTATCATCTAGGGAAGAGATACAACTTTCTCTGGTGTTTGGTGGCGTTTGCACTACTTCGTCCCTTAACGCACCGCTTCGTCCCTTGTTTATATATATTCTGATTCCCCATTATTTCGGCACCACTGTTTCCACAGATAACAATGGCGACTTCGACCGCTTTTAATGATCTCCAGATGGCTGCCAGGCAAATTAAAAACCGTCCTTCTGACTTTTTTTTCAGTAGGTTTGGTTAAAAAATGTTTAATATAGATATATAAGTTATATTTGGTGCTTTGGGTTTGGATTCGTGTTTTGATTTCTTTAGATAGATGCTATTTTGAAGTTTCCTTTGTGTATTTTTAGTTGTTGGGTTCACTTACATTGGTTTGTACCCGTTCGAATCTACTGGGTTAGAAATGACTTTCTGTGTCTTTTCTCTCCGTCTCTGTATAAAAATAATTTTATGGCATGTTCTCTCGTTATATATTTGAGAAAACCCCAAATTTTTATGACTGAGACAGAAAAGACGGAGATTATGTTATTGTAGATCATTAATCCGTTGATGAAAACTTTCATTCAAATCTTGTTGTTGTAGATCATTAATCCTTTCATTCAAATATATTTTGTTTAGGTCCGGTGGATGACAACCTCTTCGAGTGGGAAGCTGCAATTAAGGGGCCAAAATATAGCCTTTATGGTGCAGGAACATTCCATGTTAGCATGAATTTTTCCCCATGGTTTCCAATGATAGCTCCAACTGTAATTTTTTTAAGGGGCCAAAATATAGCCTTTATGGTGCAGGAACATTCCATGTTAGCATGAATTTTTCCCCACGGTTTCCAATGATAGCTCCAACTGTAATTTTTTCATACTAACTCTTGCTCTTATGCAACAACTGCCAATGTTATGTCTAAAATCTTATGGGTTCCTCAATTTTTCAGGTCAAATTCAAAACCAAGATTTTTCACCCCAATGTTTCTGACAAAGGAGATGTGTATCTCTACATGTTGGACAATGGATGGGCTCCTGGTTTCACAATTCCTGATGTTTGTGTTTTATCTTCTATTCGTTATAATTTAACTTTAATACCGGCAGTGAAGTATATTTATTAAATAAACTTTCTTATTTTCTGGAAATAGATCCTAATGACGCTCTGGGAATGCTCCTTACCCCAAGATTGGACCTTTCTGATAAGGTGAATGAGGATACTCTGGAGTATGTCTCTAACAGGGAGAAGTTCAATAGAAAAGCCGCTGAGTGGACGATATTATATGCTAGGAAATAAGGAGTTCGTTTGTTTTATGACCTCAATGCTATCTATGTTGTAATAAATTTTCAAACATCATAGAGATGTTTGAAAAATTTCTAAACTGCATCGTACTTTACTTTTTTTTTTAATTATGAATAAATCAATTCTGTTGGTGCACTATTAATGCGAATGGTGCTTCTAAATTGTTACTTGTAATGCTGATTTAAGAACGTTTTTAAAACCATTTAAAAAGGCTTATAAACCCATCCACAAAATTTTTTATATCCCTAGTTGCTCGAACTAGGAAATGAGTGTAGTCGATGAGGCTGAGTAACCAGTCGGGTCTGCTTTAAAAATATTTTATAAAGATTTAAAAGAAGTTTAAAAAGGTGTATAATAAAATGTAGAGAGTATCTACTGTTTGAAATGTAGATAAAGTCTTTTGTTGAGATTTAAAAGATGTTTTAAAATGCTTATAAAAAGATTTTCAAACAGTCGAAACCCCCCCACGGTTGCTCGAACCCGGGTGCTGATGGTAAGGAAGAGGACGTGTGTAACCCCCAAGGCTGTGGTGTTTAAATTGTCAATGACTCCAGCGTAAAAGGTAATAAAGAGAATATCTACTGTTTGAAATGTAGGCCCAAACACGGGCCCAACAAAAAAACCAAAAAATTGTTTTTTATAAAGATTTATAAAGTCTTTTGTTGAGGTTTAAAAGATGTTTTAAAATGCTTATAAAAAGATTTTCAAACAGTCGAGACCCCCACGGTTGCTCGAACCCGGGTGCTGATGGTAAGGAAGAGGGCGTGTGTAACCCCCAAGGCTATGGTGTTTTAAATGTCAATGACTCCAGCGTAAAAGTTAATATAGAGAATATCTACTGTTTGAAAATGTAGGTCCAAACACGGGCCCAACAAAAATAACAAAAAATTGTTTTTATAAAGATTTATAAAGTCTTTTGTTGAGATTTAAAAGATGTTTTAAAATGCTTATAAAAAGATTTTCAAACACTCGAGACCCCCACGGTTGCTCGAACCCGGGTGCTGATAGTAAGGAAGAGAGCGTGTGTAACTCCCAAGGCTGTGGTGTTTTAATTGTCAATGACTCCAGAGTAAACGGTAATAAAGAGAATATATACTGTTTGAAATGTAGGCCCAAACACGGGCCTAATAAAAAATCTAAAAATTGTTTTTATAAAGATTATTTATAAAATTTTTTAATTCCCTATCTGATACCCCACACCCCATCGTGTTTGTGTACAGCTTAAACTTCTTTGCCAAAATTAAGAAAAAGCCAAATTAGAGATTAGCTCAGATTAGATTGGGGCTATGCATGTAGATTTGTTGTGTCCACTCTGACCACACCTACCACATTTGTAATTTTTTGATTTGGTACAAGACTTGCCATACTCCCAACCAGAAGGAATCCTCTTTTTCTTTCGCCTCCCACTAGGGATGTGAGTAGAAAGTGGAAGACAAATAAAATTAGCTACATTAGGAGGGATGTCCCAATAAGTTTTATCTCCAACAGGATAAATACTCTCTGCATATGCTAGTATCCACCCATGAGAAGATAATATGATTACCTATACAGAACAACACGAAATGAATCAAGAATAAAGGCGTAGACAAAAAGAGGCAATAGTACCTTTCTTTAGAGTAACAATCATCGACATAGTTATTTTCGTTGTGTTTGGCAGCTTTGGCAGCAGCAATCGCATGAGCACACATAAATCTTTGAATATCAAACACACAACATGTGCATTGCCTTAACATCAAATTCACAACCTCCTTTCGCTACCTCAAACTCAAGCTGATTGATTGGACACACTTCAAGCCACCGCGATGAACTGTCGTATGATTCCTTCATTCTCTTCTTGACTTCTAATGTCACAGGGTGCGGATGACGTGAACTCATCTCATGCCTTTCCTGGAACCACCTTGTGAATATAGACCTAATGGTGTCAAACAGGCACACTATAGGGTATTCGCGAGGGATAGTTAACATAGAGTTAAGAGATTCAGCAAGGTTTGATGTCATGATGTTATAGCGAGTGGAAGGCGCATAAGCGCGTGACCATTTCGTGACATCAACTTTCACCAGATAATCTGCGAGCAAAGGATGAGCATTCTTGATTTTGTTGAACAGAATATTAAAGTCATACTTCGTGTAAGCCTTGATTGCCTCCTGAACCAAAGCCACAAGAGAAGCGTCCTTGAAGTGTGATTCCACGTTTTTCTCAAAATGAAAACTGCAGATGCCATGATGAGCCAATGGTAATTTATCGAAACACCTTTCGCAATAGATGGTGCACGATCCGACACAAAGACTAGATCTTCCTTGTCCAGAATGATAGTCTTCAGGCACCTCAAAAACCACTCCCACGAAGCATCATTCTCAGAGTCAACTACCCCGAAAGCAATGGGATATAATAGAAAGTTACCATCTTGCGCTGTGGTACCAAGCAAAGTCCCTTTAAATTTTGCCTTCAAAAAAGCACCATCGATAGCAACTACTTTCCTTAGCACCTTAAAACCTCTAATGGATGCACCACAGGACAAGAAAGCATACTTGAATTTTCCAGCATTATCAACCTCAATGTAGGTTGCAGACCCGGGATTCTTTTGCTTTACCATGTGGAAAAAACTTGGCAGAGCTTCATAACTATCTTCTGGAGTACCTCTAGCAATCGCTTCAGCATGTTCTTGAGCTCTCTGATATTACTATATATTTTGCATATTTTGCATGCATTTAGGATAGTTTTTTCATGCATTCATCTTGTATTATAGGCTAGTTTACACCATTTTATGTCCTAGAGCATTTTTGCATTAGCATTCACATGTTTCTTGCATTATGCATCATATTCAGGTTGTTTTTGGACACTTTGGAGCTGTGGAGGATTCATGGACATGCTAAGGCTCGTGAGGAAGCTTGTGGACACTTGGAGAACTCAACCATTCAGCAAAGGACCTGAGATCGAGTTGCGGATCGGGCAAGGCAGGTCGATCTAGACGAGATCGACCAGAAAATCGAGTGACCCCCAGTCGATTCAAGAGGAAGATTGAGCATGCGATCGAGTGAGGAGGTCGATCGAGAGTACATACGTGGGCCAGATCGAGTTCCCGACCCGATCATCAAAGGATCGACTCAAAGATCGAGCGAAGTCATCCGATCCAAGAGAATATCGAGCCGGAGATCGAGTGACCCGAGTCGATCCCAGACTAACCTTATCCGTCCAGCTGGTTTTGGCAGCTAGCGAAGGGGGGATCATTTGCGGTTTAGCCATTTTTGGCAAACCGCAGCCATCGCTTTCATTATCCTCCATTCTGTCTTTTACTTTTTCGTTCTCCTCTTCCTTAGGCGATTTTTGCCATTGTAGACTTTAAGCTTTTCTTGCATTTTGAACCTTGGAATTTTGAAATCATTAAGTCTTTTGCTTTAATCCATAGTTTAATCATGATTAGCTGTTTAGCTGTTCATCCTTTGCATCCTGTTCGGTTTTATTTATGAATCGCGCGTAGTTTCCTTAGGGTAAGGGGTTGAGGCGATTCGAAAAGGGTTAAAGCTTTGTGTTTTATTTGTTCTTCATACCTTCTCTTCTAGGATCTTGGGATCTTAAAGCCTAGAGAACCTTGGAAAAGGTCTCTATGAACCAAAGGCTGTCTTACCTTGACAGAATTCAGATGTCCTAGAAAACCAGATCCTAGAGGCTAATCCTTCCTTTCCCATACACCATGGTTGTTTAGGGGATTAGTTAGGTCATTATTTGAAATCTGTATTTCTTGCTCTTCGATCTCTTTTTCCACCAAACGCCATGGGTTTGGAGAAGAGATTGATGAAGTGAGCCATACCACACGCCATGGATGGTTCTTGTTTTGTTTTCAAGGCTTAGAGAAACCTCTTAAAATAGTAGATCTAAATGTTTTCAAACCAAAGCTTAAATCTTTGATACCCTTGAATATGACCCTCGACCCTAAACCCTCCTTTTTAGCATTTGATAACCACGTTTTTGCAATGATGAGTGTATGCAATGATGTATCAAAGCTCAAATGCAACACTAGGTTGTAGTACAATATGCAAGTGAGTGTCAATCCACACCTAGGAGCTAGAAAGTGCAATGAGAATGCAAAGGTTTTGTAAATCTAAGCAAATTGTGAACAGTTTTTGTGAAAATCCTAAAATCTAGATGCAACAGTAAAATGGAATGCAAAACTATTTTAAAATTACCAGGGATGATAGAACTACAACGAAGAATAGACAGAATAATTAAAATGCAAAGCTATGAATTACTAAAAATCGACTAGTGGATCGACCATGGGATCGACCACTAGATCGAGCAATAACGATCGATCTCGTCTAAAAGTGCAAGTGTAATGAAACTAATGACCAGGATGCAACGAGTATCAAGCGAATGATTTACGAAGATGTAAGAATGCTAAGAAAGAAGGGTCTAGGGTCGAGATTCATGTTTAGGGGTTTCAAAGGTCCAAGCTTGGTTTGAAAACTCTAGATCCACTCACTTTGTGAGGTTCCCTAAGCCTTGAAAACAAAACAAGATCCATCCGTGGCTTTCGGTATGGATCACTCCCTCATCCTCTCCTCCAAACCCATGGCTTCTGGTGGAAAGAGAGGTTGAAGGGCAATGAACTTAGATTTCAAACACATGGCTTAACTAGTGATATATCATGGTTTTTATGGTTTTTAACCATGATATAAGTCCTTTTTATTGAGTCTTTTTGGTCTTTTTAAAGTCCTAGAAGAGTCTTTGCAGGTTATAGCATGTCTGGAGCATAATTGGAGATATTGGAGCCTTTTGGAGCATTTTGAGTTGAAACCACGAAGTACCAAGCTCGAAGCAGAAAGTATGCATATGGGTGACGCTCGTCACCACTTTTGGTGACGTTCATCACCCAGAAAGGAAGGGGTCGTGGCCTGTTTTTAAAAGATTGGGAAGAAATTGCAGTTTTGGCCCAGAAGTTCCAGTATTTGCAAAAAGCCCCAGATCGTGTTTTAGCTTGTATATTAGGTTTTTCAGCCATTCTTTTGGCAGATATCTTGTATCTTATTATTTTTGAGAGCTTTAGAGAGAGATTTGTAGAATAGCTTTTGGAGAGACAAATCAGACTCCTTCAGAGCAGATTTTGAACTCCTTTATTTCTACTTCTTATTTCTTTTATGCAATCTATTCTTTTCATGATGTTTTCTCAAATCACCATGTCTGA